AACAAAACAAAAAATAACGCGATACCCCACAAAGTTGATTATGTTTTGATGATGGATGCAAAATTTTCCAGGGAACTGGGTATCATTTCGGGGCCGGTGTGGAGCGAGTGTCTGTTTTCTTCTAACCTAGGATCACGTTGATGGATGATGATTATGAACATCAACGTATGATTTGTCTTATTTTTTTTTACCTGGGCTTATTTTATCAAGTTTTTTTTTTTTTTTTTCACATCCCTTTTTCATGGCATTTTGATTTTGCGACACATTTGCATATCTTTTTATGTGACCTAGAGAACCCCAAGAGGGCAGACATCATATAGATTGCGGCTTTGAGCGAATTGCGGGGTAACATTTAGCGTACGGTTCCAGTGTTTTTTTTTTGTACTTGGCAAAAACCCAGGGCAATCTATTATGGGGGCAATCTCCACTTCATATGCCAAGCCAAGAACCTTGGAAGTTGGACATCTCCAATTTGATACAAATACATTTGTAACATCTGTAGGAGTGTTGTACTGAAATTCAGTGTTCTTGAGAGTAAACCAAAATACTGTAAACAGTGGAGAAAATAGCTATCGTCATATGGTATGAGCATGTTCCATTCCATATGGCGTGTTTTTTTTATAGTTAGGTATTTTCTTTTTTAATCCTCGTACCGTGGGTTAGTGTGTCCCCCGCATATGGCCCCACCAGCGAAAATAGAAAAGGCGAAAATGAAATCGGACGGTTTGCCTCTCAGGAACAAATCGCCTCGGTGTGTCCCTGGATCGTGGCCTTTAAGTGGGTTCTGGTTCTGAGGTCAAATTTGTCGGTCTGTTCTTTTTGTCCGAGGCGTCCGTCGAGTGTGGGCTTTGGTCTCACATCAGATGGGTCTGTGCCATGCCACTGGTATCGTACGTAGAGATCAGTACACTATACACAATGTACTGCAGAGTTACCCAAGAAGAAGATAGAAAATAATAAGAACATGGTATTTGAAAAGTACATTTGAAAAGTACATGTATGTAGTTATATACCGGTGCCTAGGTAATAGGTGGGGACCGATAAGCAGATAACGCAGAGGGGGAAGTACTTGCGTAGTACAACGTCTCATATGTGATGGTTGGGTCAATACCAGGTTTAATAGATGTATCGCATTCCCTTCTCTGCATTCCGCCATTTCTTGTTTCTCTTTGCATATCTCTCTCTCTCTCTCTCTCTCCCTTTTTCAACTTCCCCCCCCAATATCCTCTATTCTTCTACTCGGCCTTTTCGGTTCTCTCGGTTTTCTGTACGGCATCTTTGCCGAAACCTGTTCCACGGTTCTTTGGCCGTGGACCCCGAGAGAACAATAACGGACAACGTGATTTCCCCACCTGACATTCTGATCACTCCATCTCTCTATTTCCTCTATCCCTCAAAGCGCTGATCAATATCCAAAAGACCGGTCATCGCTGAAATCTAGCACTATGCTCATCTAAGAGCTTCCGGTGACTGCGCGCCCGTCGCTCTATCCATTTCCACTATCCTTCGTCGTTCTTATTGCTCGTGTGATACCTCCGTACCGTGCCGACACCCGTCGGAAGGCGTGACAAGATAGCAGTGGGCCAGAGAATAAGTGATACAGGCTAAACCAAGTCGCCAAAATGACCTCCCAAGTATCCGATGAGATCCTACCCTCTCCGGGTAGTATCTCTCCGAACAGCCCGATCAATTCGGCAGGCCAGATCCCATTAGAGCAACCGCCAAAACTCAAGGGTCGTCAGAAGTTATTGCAGAGTCTCCAACGCATGTCATCTAGCCCGACATTGACCCGACGCGGCCGCTCCTCATCGACCACTAGTTACCGCCGTGACCATAAAGCTTCTTATTCTTGTGTTTCGCTATCTTCACCTTCCTACTCGCCCTGTCTAGGCAATGGAAGTTCCTCCCAGCTCTATGGCGGCCTCAATCCTCGGCCTGCTACTCCCGGATGTTCGAACTCTCCCGGCGAGCCCCAGGGCACAAACGCTCGCATTCGATTGATGGACACCGATGGCCCTGGTTTCACTACGCCTCGCACCGTGCCTTTGCCCTTCGATGTGAGGCCAGCTTCGCTTGGATCACCACATACCGCGATGCCGATGGGAGTGAAGTTCGAGGAGGTCACCCTTCCAGAATCCCAACCGGCCAAGACTCTTGATTTTTGGGGCGATATGCCACAAGAGCTTAAGATGGAGATCTTCCAATACCTCGCTCCGCAAGAAATTGTCCGCTGCTCCGCTGTGTCCAAGACGTGGAATGAGATGTGCTACAACGGACAATTGTGGTCTAAGGTTGATACCACCGAGTACTACTCTAAGATCCCGAGTGATGTTTTGGTCAAGCTTATCACTTGTGGCGGTCCGTTTGTCCGAGACCTCAATCTCAGAGGCTGCGTTCAAATGCGCGAGAAATGGTCATCGGATGGAGAGCGCATTTCAGATCTATGTCGGAATGTGGTCAACTTTTCGCTTGAGGGTTGTCGTATTGGCAAGGCATCCATCTACTCTTTCCTCCTGCGTAATCCCCGTTTGGAATCCATCAATCTCTCGGGTCTGTCCAGTGTCACAAACTCGGCTATGAAGGTCATTGCACGATCTTGTCCGCAACTCGAGACATTGAATGTTTCTTGGTGCAATAATGTCGATACCACTGGTCTTCTTCGGATTGTCCAGTCCTGTGAGCGATTGAAGGATCTTAGGGCCAGTGAAATCCGTGGGTTTAAAGATGAGAAATTCACTCTGGCTTTGTTCGAGCGCAATACTTTGGATCGCTTGATTATGAGTCGTACCGATCTGACCGATCAGAGCCTGAAAATACTGATTCACGGAAAAAGCCCCAATATTGATATCCTGACCGATCGGCCTATCGTCCCACCTCGAAAATTCCGTCATTTGGACCTTCACCATTGCCCTGAAGTGAGCGACGATGGATTGAAAAGCCTGGCCTATAACGTCCCAGATTTGGAAGGCCTGCAAGTTTCCCAGTGCTCCGAGCTGACCGATGAATCTGTCATGGACGTCGTTCGCACGACACCAAACCTGTCGCATTTGGAACTGGAGGATTTGGAGAACTTGACGAACCGCACCCTGGTGCAGCTGGCTGAATCCCCATGTGCCCAAAATTTGGAACACTTGAACATCAGCTACTGCGAGAGTCTCAGCGACACAGGAATGCTCCGAGTAATGAAGAACTGTCCAAACCTCCGATCCGTCGAAATGGACAACACCAGAGTGTCAGATCTGACGCTGATGGAAGCCAGCTTCCGTGTCCGCCGCCGCGGATACAACGACGAGGTCCCCAAAGTCGGACTACGACTCATGATATTCGACTGCGCCAACGTCACCTGGGCAGGGGTCCGGGAAGTCCTCTCCAGCAACGCATACATCCCGCGCGCCTCCCGCAAACCCGTTTCAACTGTGGTGACGGTGACACAAACATCAGATGCCGGCTCCTCCCCGGCGACAAGCACCTTCGTCACTCCAGCCTCCTCCCCTTCGCCGTCACCAGCACCAACCTACCCCAACGAAATCATCCAGCTCAAATGTTTCTACGGCTGGCAGATGACCGTCGATGAACACACGAAACGTGTCCTGCGCGGCGATCTCGCTGCTGCATCCCGGCTGGACCGGAAATGGGCCGAATACATGGTCGCCACTGAAGAGGCTGGTGCTGCTGGTGCTGGTGCTCGCCGACGTCGACGTCGTGCCCGTGAAGCTGAGCGTCTGTACAATGAAGACGAAGACGAGAACGATGCTTACGGCGTGGGCGCTATCTCTGCTCTTGGCGGGAGACGCAGACGAGCCCAGAGCGGTGGTGGCTGCACTGTCATGTAAAGTAAATGCCTGCGGCTTTTTCTTTCCATTCGGTGTGTTCTGGGCACACCTGAAATTCGAACTAGACGCAAGACGTTGCTCGAGTCTGCTAGCGCAGGATCGCTAGTATCTCAAATGGATGCTATGCTGGATGCCAACCATTTGATATTGAAGATTATCCAATGGTCATTTTCAACTTGATATGAATTACGCACGTTATGATTTTCTTTTCTGGCTTGCCCAATACAACACTTTCTTTCGCGTTTGCTTTTTTGGGCCCTCTATCTCTCTATCTACCACCTATCGTCACATCTACTTGTCTTCGCCTCTCTCCTCGTTTTTAGCTATGGCGCCAAATTCCAAGAATGGGCTTTCTTTCCTGCATGTTCTATGAGATTTTTATATGTTCACATCTTTCACCAAATCGAGATGTTAGCTCTAGTATATGTATCTAGAGGGGTTATTGGCGAGATGATTGGCGTTTTGGGGGGATTTTCCCTATCAGTTTGTCTTCCTGGGCTTCTCAATTTGAATTCATGCCGCATGTCGGGCTTCTCTTATGACACTCTACACTCTCACGTCAATTCCAAGGCATGTCCTCTAGGTGGACAGTCGGCCTAGGACGATATTAGCGCTGTTATAGGTAAGAATACTCCACTGTGTTTTTGGATGCACTTTAGGACAACCTGTCACGAAATATAGAATGGCTAAAAAGCACCTTGTTTAGTATACAATGTCTGTATGGCTAGAATTGCTTATTTAATGAATCATTAGCATGAACCAAGGACCTCTTGACTTATTTTGCAAGATAGTATTTGTTCTTCAATAACCTGTTTACATCCCGTGAACCCGATTCTCTTGTATCTTATAGAAACCTGCATGGTGAGGGTTTCAAAGAAACCCAGTAGCCAGATGAGGAGAATCCTCTTCGAGAGCAGCAGAAAAGACCATTAATATCGTAAGAATAACTGCAAAGCACGGTGATCAACTGCATGTCACTGGCAATAATATGCAAAGAAACATATCGCAAGAGGGAAATATGAAGATAAAAGAAAGGTACAACCCCCCAAACTGGTGCCATAAACCCGGAATTTCAATAAAAAGAAAAGAAAGGTAACCCTTGGGATCCATCATCTCCCTTCTGACATCCCATAGAAATGAAAAATGAAGTCGATCTCATTTCTCACCCTATTTCGCATTTCTTTTTGGGCTTCCGGTTTCAAGGTGCATCCCCCCTTCCTGCACATGAGCCCCCGCTGGTGCTTGACTCTTGTGGACTTCGGTTTCATCCACACCACCTTCAGTAAGCACTGCCTCCTCAGACCTGACACAAACTGTCGTGTGACTCAACTTCTCAATGCCGGGTTGTTCGGGTGCGAGTTGCTCCACCTTGGACGGGTCAGTGGTATGAAGGTTTGCAGAAGATGCATCAGTCACTGCTTGCTCAGTTTCGTGGTTTTCAGTCATCGGTTGCACGTCACTAGGTTCAGCTGTCTCAACGGTTTGGATCGTGGTCTCTGGAAGAGGGATAATAGTCGTGCTGGTCTGTTCGGGGATGGGCGTCTGGATGGATTCTTTCATTGGGTGTTCGATATCCATACCCAACCCGAGCTCAGTGTCCACAGTGTTATCGGAAAGCACAGGTTGTTTTTCCTCGTGTTCTGAAGGGGCGGTTTCGGTGTCTTTCGGGGCCTCTTCCTTGGCCTCTCCCTTGGCCTCTTCCTTGACATCGTCCGGGATCTTCTCTGTGACCTGCCCTGGACCATGCGCTGGAACCTCAACTGGGCTGACAATATCCACATCCACGTCAACTTGGGACGCTGACTGAGCAATCATGGATTGATTGCCACTGCAAGCAATTCCATTACTCTTTCCAGTGGGTTCTTCCACCTCAGTATCGTCATCTGAGTCCGTTTGCTCATCTAGCTCGCCATCCTCGTTCATCAGCTGGTTGCTGTATGGCCTAGAGAGAGCGTCATAGTCAAAATCTTTGATACCATGACTGGTGAAGAATCCCCTCGGCATGGTAGTCGGCTTCACTCCACGCCTCATAGGTCCACAACGAACGTTGTAACCCCAGACTTTCCACAGAGGGCAGATCTCAATCCCGTCAACTTCTGGATTCGGAAGAACCGCACAGAGATGGTGGTCAGCAGCCACAAAATCGCGCGTCCAGGTCTTGCTCCTGTACTGCAATTCACTCTCGATACCACTAGGCTTGTGTGTTGTCATCTGGCGGGTGATAGCGTGAGGAGCCTTCACGGCAGAATCAGGTGCGATGACTGCCCCAATAGACCAGATCGGGCTGGATTGCATGACATCCCTTGTTTTCTCGTGGAGCAGCCAGCCGATGCTGTTCGCGTTGTCGCGTCCACAGAGGATGTAATAGCCTTTGTAGACTGGGAAGAAAGGCAAGCCGTGAGCCCAGATAATGGGAGCCGGCCCCGATGATACGCGTTGAGGGTTGATGTGGCCCATGGGGTCGAAATCGTATGGGTATAGTCGTGCTCGGTGGCGCGCGTTCATGAACTTGGTTGCCAGATAAACTAATTCATCTGACAGTCGGTTGTTGGGTGGAGGGAAGTCCCATTGGCCGCTTTCCTCGTTGAATTGCACATCCAGGACCAGTTTCAGTTGTGCCCCTTCTTCCTTTGTGGTTGGGTTCCTTCCGTAGCCGTCTTTGGGGGTCCACACTACGTCGGGATTGGACTTTAGATGGTTGGCGAGGGCTTTGGAGCAGCGGTCTCGAAAGACCTTTTGCTGCTCAATGAACTCGGCTTCATCTGAAGGGTGGCATGCCATTTTGGCTTCTTGGGGTGCGGATGTAGACATCTTGGCTTGATTGGATGGATTGTGTAGTTGATTGAAGAATCCGTGCTTGGTTTGTCAAGAGCTCAGATGACTAGACGTATATCTGGTGGATCAAAGTTGCATTGATAGATAGTTGAACGGTATCAAAGCTCGAATTGTTGCAGAAGTTCAAAGTATGCAGAAGTCTGGGCTATAGATATAGGAGTCAGCGAATATGAAGTTGCAGTTTGTGACAAGATAGATCGTAAGGTGAACATGAGCACAATATAAGAATGGAGATTGAAGTAGCAAAGGGATCATTCATCGATACCTTACCTGCAGTGAGAAGTGAGATCACAACGGAATGGTAAAGGGGATGAAAGTTGTGAAAGTTGTGAAAAAAAAGACGAGCAAAGCAAAGTAGATGTGTAGATGATAGAGGGTATGGATTAACGCAGAGAAGCCGGATGTGCAAAGAAGCACATGTGATGGTAGGTAGAGATAGAAGTGAAAGTTAGATCTGGGCAGCAAAGAATTTAGGTGTTGATCTGATGTTCGCAGTTGAAATCAGATAGTAAATGTGAAAGGTTGGTGTGGTTAGCCCTAGCTTTGGAGTCAATGCTTCAAAGTAGCATAGATCAATGTGATGAAGGTTCGGATAGTCGAGAATAGCAGATGTAAAAGCAAGGTAAAGGTTAGAGGGTAGGAGTAAGTGTAGAAAAGAGAGTTGACAAGAGAGTTGACGAAGTGAATGAAGTATGTAGTCAAATTAGAGAACGATGTACTCGATTTATACCATATACCGTTGGAGGACTACTGCTATGAAGGGGGAAAAGCAGAAGACTCGTTGTTTATTCAATCTATCAAATCAGGTTTTATATGCCCTGCATAAGTACGCCGGACTAACTTATAGGTAACAAATAGTGCTATACAGCAAAAACGAGTTTCTGTGTTCCGCCTAACAACCTAGATGAACAACATCATCAGCATCGTAGGTATGCAGGTGGAGAACCCGTTTATTATTCGGTGGAGCTTTGGACAGACAGTGTCATTTGGCTGTATTGCAATAGAATATATAAAATGCTAGAGTGGATATCAAGACAAATAAGACATGAACGAATTCTGCATCGAACGTATGAATTGGTTATTCAAAGAAACCACCATCGCTATCATCCTGGTCCTCCGCATTGGCTGGTTCTGATGCCTCGTGTTTCTTGGGAGCCCGCTCGCTGCGTGCAGCTTTCTCCTTCTTGCTGCTCTTCTTGTCACCTTTGGAAACATGCTTCTCTTTCTGTTGCTCTCCCTTCTTGCTCTTCTCCGTGTGGGTATCTGTAACTGTAGTTGTGCCAGAAGACGAAGCTTGGATCTTCTCTCCATTAGCATTGATGTGCAGCTTTCCTTCACGAAGAAGGTCCAGTGTCTTTTCTTCCATGCACTTCTCAACGACAGACCACATCGGGGGCTTGGCGTCGTTGGATTTGGTTTCCTGTGTTTGCAATTCTGACTTTGGGTCTGTTGCATCGGGTTTTCCACTGGGGTAGATTGAAATGTATTTCTCGGTGAGAGGATAGTAGATCGTGTAGTTCAGGTTCACCTGGCATGTGTGGATTTTCGCCGCAAGACGAGCCTTTTGTTTCGGATCAAGGTCTTCGTCCTTCTCCCGGCGAGTAAGTCGGTTGAGTTCTTTGGTGGCAGTTTTGCGGTCTATTCAATAACAACAAGGTACGTTAGCGAGGACTCAAGAACTTGTAGACTTATCGGCCACATACCAAGGAATCGGACAAAGTGATATTTCTTGATCAATGATGACCTTTCTCTGCGTGTAGTTTCGTCCGCAAGATCTTGCTCATACCCGGCAAGGGCGCGTTCCTGCAAAATGCGAGCATCGGCAGACAAATCCATTTTGTTGAGTAGTCGCTTCGCATCGCGAATTCGCTTTTTGAGGTCGTTGATCGACGGGTATTCCTTTTCGGGTTTGGGAGCAAATTTGTCCTTGTATTTCCGGGTCACTTTGGGCTTCGATGTATCGCCTTTGCTGCCGTAGTCCTCGAATTGGACTTGATCATCTGCTTTGTCTGCCTTGCGATGCACCTTTTTGCGGGCCGGGGGAACATCCTCTGACCCATCCCTGGTCTTCCTCTTTGAGGGAGCTGCCCGATCGCGGTGGTTTCTGGTATCTGTAGACATGCTTGTTGGTCTAACAGAAAAGGAAAAGGAAAAAAAAGAAGTCGAAGCTACAGCAAAAACGATAAGAAAAAAAGATATCGGCGGATTTATCGGCCCGTCCCCCCCAGATTGGCGCCCAACCAATGAGCATCTCCGTTGATCATCATCACCGCGGCCCTCTCTCGTCGCATTGATTTGATTTACTCCAATTGCCCGCTTGAATTTGTCTATCTGGCAGTTCGGATTTATCCATGTCATCCAGTCAATTACTGAACCACGCTTAGTAAAAGGGCCAGCATGGAATCCGCCATTCGCTGGTCCCCGACCTCGTCGGCCGCTGAACAACGCTTCCTGTCAGTCGACGTCACAGGGAAATCATTTCGTCTGTGTAGGGTGACTGGGTTTGACGGCAAAAATTTACGCCATGAAGTGCTATCCACCTTGACTAACGTGCCTGGTTTTCGCGCATTTGACTGGTCTACTTCAAATGAGAACCTGATCGCCGTGGGTCAGTCATCTGGAGAGGCCACCATCCTACGCCTCGATGGGGATGCCAAGGAGTCTCTTTCATTCCCAGTCCGCAACCAACGGTACTGTAATGCAGTTGCATTTAGTACACACGGTCTTGTGGCGTCGGGCCTCGATCGCGTTCGGAACGACTTTTGCTTGAACATTTGGGATGTCAACCAACGACTCAGTCCCGCTGGTGGAAGCAAAGGATTCACTGAGCCCTTGCGGAAGCTCGCCAGCTCAGAGCCTATCACCAGCATCAAGTTTTTCAGAAACCAGCCTGACACGGTCGTAACTGGTGTCAAAGGCCAGTTTGTTCGAATCTATGATCTGAGAGGTCTGTCTTTCCTGGCTTTATATCTACAAAAGCATAACTGATTTTGTAATAGAGGGACCTGGAAATCCATCATTACAATTTCCCACTCGGTGTGTTCATAATCTGGCTATTGACTGGCTTGATGAGAACTATATTGCGTCTTGCATTCCATCAAATGAAAGCACTATCTCCGTGTGGGACCGTCGCGTTGGATCTCGACTGACATCTCCATCAATGGGCGCTTCTGCCAGTGTCCCGGACTCAGGTAACTCGACGCCTGCTTTGGAACTCAAGAATGTTTTCCATCCGAAGTCCTCCATCTGGAGCTTGCGCTTCTCAAGGACGAATCGAGGCAATCTTTCTGCGCTGTCCAGCAGCGGTCATTTCAAAAATTACGATATTGCTAAAGACTACTTACCGGAGGAGTATCGCTCTTCAATAGACGAGACTCTTGGTCAGGGATCTTACAGAAATTACCCAGAATCGGTATACACTAAGCACGTCCGGGACATTTGCGTACCCTTTGATACCCCGGCTCGTGGCTACGAAGAAAAGGACCGGGTTGTTTCATTTGATTCCCTGAATCTTAGCTTGTCTCTTCAACCGAGTGCTATCGCACTCGACGGCAATGGACAACCCCAGATCATCACCGTGCGACCCCCCTGCGCACCAATTGATTTATCTTCACGGAGTGTATTAGCTTATGGCATCTCCTCGGGTGACTCGGATGTGCGATCGATTCACCCACTGTCTGAGCATATTTCACCCATCTCAGACCTGATCGGGAACATTAGGTCGCGCGTCTGTTTGACCTCGCAAGAGCATGGGGCAAATTCAAATGGTCAGCTGTTCGTATCAAAGAGTCTTGATTTCGAGCCTGTCCCAAGCCATGAGAACCGGGAACGCGCCATGGCTCTCGGGGTGACAGGTGTCCCTCTTACTGCGAAGGAAGCGCTCACTCTATCCACAATTAATCAGTCCCGGTGCAAAGAGGGTTATCTGTTCGATGAGGCTCGAAACCGAAATGTGGCCTCTGATGATCAAGCCCTGCAAGACTTCTGGGGCTGGATTGAACGTGAGTTTTTTCTTCCTTGGGGTCACAACCACATACTTAATACATTTTCTAGGTGCTCGAACCGAGTCTTCTGGGACCTCAATGGTTGTCAATGGCTTAGACCTGAATTATCTAGGTGTGAGCAATGTTTGGAATAATGAAATAGGTTTGTTTCTTTACTTTGTCATGAAGTCTTTCTCAAAGCTAATGTTAGAACAGGCCATGGCTTGGAACAACGTTGTATCAGCGCCAAGAAAGATGATGCTAAAACAGTTGCGGATGCAGTGGCAACTTTGGCAATCCAGTTGAACCTCCCCGAGACAACAGGTTGTGACACAGATTTTCCCGATCATCGCCGACTCTGCCTTCGCCTTTGTGGTGCTACGCAATCATACCGTGAGCTGGAGGAGTCAGTGAAAACGTTATCTGGCGAAGACCAGCATACTAAAGCTGCTGCATTGGCTGTATTCCAAGATGAGCCTAAGCTGGCTTACCTAGGACTTCGAAGCAACAACCCCACCCAAGCTCATAAATTGCTGGCCATGGCGATCGCCGGTGCCTCCAAGGGAGACAATGACACGGACTGGGAGGAAACATGTGCGGAAATCGCGAAGGAACTCACTGACCCATACGCCCGGGCGATCCTAGCCCTCGTGAGCAAAGGCGACTGGAATGCAGTTATCAAGGAAACCACACTACCTCTGAAATATCGCGTGGAGGTCGCGCTACGCTGGCTTCCAGATGACGAACTAACTGAGTATCTGAAGGAAGCCACAAGCCAAGCAATTGACCTAGGCGATATCGAAGGAGTCGTGCTCACGGGGTTGGGTCATCTGGCCATGGGTCTATTCCAATCGTATATTGAGAAATTCAATGATGTTCAAACTCCCGTGCTAGCAATGAGCCATACCGTGCCGCGGCTTGTTAGCAACCAAAAACACGTTGTCCGGTTTGAGGCCTGGCGCGAGACCTATCGGCGACAAATGAACTCCTGGAAACTCCAACTCGAGCGAGCCCGATTCGACGTCGGCTCTCGTCGTTTCGCTGTAACTGCGGATGGTCGCAAACTCATGCCGCCACCGCCCCAGCAAGTCAGCCTCACCTGTAACTACTGCACGAGTCCGCTCACTCAGCACGACGCTTCCTCCCAGAACTCCCCATCTACTAAGAGTGTCGAAAATGTTCATCCCACTGCCGGGAACCCACTGGCACCCACAGTCATGTCTGGGACTGTGTGTCCACGGTGTGGTCGACATATGCCACGCTGCGGCGTCTGCACCTTGTGGCTGGGCTCGCCAGACCCAATGTCACGGGCTAGTATTGCTGCGGATGCTGAGGCTGGTTCTCGTAAGCCTACTGAGACTGAGGTGATGCGGCGGTTTGTGGTATTCTGTATCCATTGCAACCATGGATTCCATGCAAATCATGCCAGCGACTGGTTTAAGCGGCATAAGATCTGTCCTGTAGCAGAGTGTAACTGCATCTGTGATCGGTGATGGTCTTGCTAATTTGCATTGCCCCTTCTGAGCCATGGACTAGATGGCCTGTCTTTCTGCGACATTCTATACCCAATTAAGTCGATTTATATGAGAACAAGAATAGTCGGCTGCTTATGCGGCCTTGTGTCTTTTTTTAGATGCTCTTTTTAGATGTTGTCTTGCCCTCGAAGGAAGCTTGTATGATAGCAAAACGCGAAGACCTAAGGCGAGTTAGATAAGGTACGGGTTTGTAGAGCCGCATCCATGACCTCGGAGCTTATAACCAAATGCCCCACCAAAATATCATTCCCCAACTCTCCCCTCAAATTTCTCAAATCCCTCAAATTCCTCAAATGGATCACCCAAAAAACAACAAAGATAAGCGGGGACGTGGCCAAGGCCAAGGCCAAAGTCGTGATGTCCAAGTCTCCAAAGCATTAAGCTTGCTTCTGCGACATGCCGCTGAAAAGGAAGGCCTGAAGATGAACGCACAGGGTTATGCGAATGTGCCAGACGTGGTATGTAGCTTTGTTGTCCTTGTTATTCTAATAACCTATAATATAATATACTAACTATGTCCATGGTCTAGCTAAATTGGAGGAAACTTAAATCACTAAAAGTCACCTTCCCCGAGATTCTTCACGCCGTCGAATCCTCCGATAAAAAGCGCTTCGCCCTCCTCCACATTCCATCCGCACAACCCACCAAATCCACAACCCAAGCAAAAACAACACCAGTGGCAGACCCAGATGCAGAGCAAGAAGCTGCCACTATTGTGGGCGAAGACCAGCCCGTGACATCCGTCTTGGAGTCCGCACCTGCCACGAGCGAAGCCCAACAAACAGCTACCGATCAAGCATTATCCGTGAAAGATACTGACCCATCGAACTTTTTAATTCGCGCCACTCAAGGCCACAGCATCAAGACCGTCGATGCTGCCTCTTTCCTCGAGCCGCTTTCTCTGTCCGACGAATCGAAACTACCCGATACCGTCGTCCACGGCACGTTCCACACGACCTGGCCTGCGATCCTACAATCCGGTGGATTACGCTGTATGGGCCGGAACCACATTCACTTCGCCACTGGCCCGTCATTAGAGTCGGTGCTTACTGTCCACAATGAGGATACCGCGCGGGTTAAATCGACCCCCGACGACTCCCGCGTTATCTCGGGTATGCGGCGCGATGCGCAGGTTTTGATTTATATCGATGTACGCAAAGCGTTGAAAGTTGGTGTACCGTTCTGGCGCAGTGAGAACGGGGTCATTCTTAGTGAGGGCATACCTGTCACAAAGACCGGGGAGCCTGAAAAGGGCGAGGCGCAGAAGTTCGTCTCGCTGGACTTTTTCGATGTGGTCGTGGAACGCAAGGCTGGGCTGGGTAAGCTCTGGGAGCATGGGGAAGTTCTACAGGAACTTCCAGAGACCCTCACGAAGAAAGGGAATCCCAAGGGCCGGCGATGAGTGGTGATATGACTATGACACTTTCTGTGGGGATTATCATATCCAGCCGGGCTTTCTGTTGCTCAGCTCGACACAGACCAACACGGGAAATACAAATGATTCTCCTTCCAATGGTCTACACATTCAAGTATGGAGTCCTTTACACCCCACTTCGGACTTAGACCTAGCCCCTGAGGTGATAGGGTCTTGTTAAGCTGAAGGGGCCTGGAGTATACTTAGCATGTTATATTACTATCGCACTATCCTGGCCAAATTTGTATAAAAAGTAACTTATCCATCGTATTGACTGCGATAAAATTGATTCACCACAGGGGTTCTACCCGACTGCGGGGAAATCGGAAGCGCAACCTCTTCCGAATCGCCGCCAACCGACTTGTCAACTCGACACTCTCTGCGTTGTACACATCCGATACTTCGAACCCCAATCATGCCATTGGCACGGTTTTTGCGGGGTCATCCTTGAATAAGCGTCATGTCTTTTGGTCACATCTGGTTGGATGATAGACTGATCGAGTATATAACAGTCTCGTGGATTTTCAATAAATCACATACTCCTCTTTTACTGAAATCATCCTCCTTCTTTCTGTATTTTTGAGTCGCACTTGGATATCTCGTATTGCAACAGACTGATTTACACGCAACGATGGCGACGCACCGCTTCGATCCCACCTTCACCGACAATGTCATCAACGCGATGGGTCCCAAAACCACCCCGCGCATGCGAAAGCTCATGGCCGGCCTAATCAGACACATGCACGACTATGCGCGCGAGGAGGAGCTCACCGTCGACGAGTGGATGGCCGGCGTGCAGATGCTCAATTGGGCAGGACGGATGAGCGACGACAAGCGGAATGAGGGACAGCTAGTCTGCGATGTACTAGGACTGGAATCGTAAGCCGAAGTGTTGTTTGCGGGGAAAAGTCAGCAGCTAATGAGTGTTTGTTTTACAATAATAGCCTTGTCGACGAAATCACCTTCACTCTCGCCGAGGAAGCACAAGATGCACCCACAGCCACGGCCATCCTGGGCCCGTTCTTCCGCGCCGATACACCGTACCGCGAAAACGGCGAGGACATCGTCAAGACGAAACCGGCTGATGCGGAGATGACCTTCATGCACGGTCGCGTCTTGGACTTCCAGACCAAGCAGCCTCTTGTCGGTGCGACGGTTGAGGTGTGGCAGGCTTCCACGAACGGGTTGTATGAGCAGCAGGACCCCGAGCAGGTTGAGTTCAATCTGCGCGGCAAGTTCAAGACAGATGAGGATGGGAAGTACTCGTTTTACTGTCTACGTCCGACGCCGTATCCTGTTCCGAACGATGGTCCTGCTGGAAAGCTTATTGAACTGATGGATCGTCACCCTTTCCGTCCTGCTCACATTCACCTTATTGTAAGTTTTATTCTTGATATCGGATTATTGAGTTGGAAGCTAATATCCTATACAGGCTACCTATGATACCTACCGTCCTTTGACAACACAGATCTTCGACCGGAAGGATAAGTACCTTGACAATGACTCCGTGTTTGCTGTCAAGGACTCGCTTGTCGTGGACTTCGTGCCGCGCAAGGATGATCCTCAAGCTGCCCTTGAACTCAATTACGATGTTAAACTGGTGAAATTTGAGAACTAGTACCAATGGCGCATGAGCCAGCAGCTGGATTAAAGTAGCAATTTGTGATTTGTGATGTACTTGACGATAGCGAGATTAAATATAACGAAGATAACCAAACAAATTTACTACCTAGGTAGCATATTCATTATTCCTTTCTAAATAGAGGCTCTTTCAAGCATTCACAACGTTCGCGAACTTCGCAATTAACTCACCCACCTCATCAGCAGCCTCAATACAATGCCAATGTCCAACCCCCTTCAATACCTCCAGGGACTTCTGCTTACTGGAGACATGATAAAAGATATGCTGACACCCCTCCATAGAAGCAGACTTATCCTCGTCGCCGGCAATAAGCAGGAAAGGCGCCTTGACAGCAGCATAGTCCGCCGGTTTAGCGGCCGCAATAGCACGACATAGCGCAGCATAACCCTTCGGATCCTGTCCCAAGATCAACTCCCGAATGAAAGCCTTTTGAAGCGGGGTGCTACGCGAACCGACAGCTCCAAAGGGGATGGTATTTGCCATTGGCTCGATTCCAGCTGCGGAGGATTTAGCACATTTGTATGGATATATGGATATTGGAGAAGAACACGCATGAAACATAGATGCATAATCAGATAGACTAGAATAAGGAAGAACTTACATTCAAGGACAGTGTCCGATCTCTTATTCATGACCGTCACCAGCATATCTGACGGGTGCGTCGGCCCAATGGCCACAACGCCCTGTAGACGGTCGGGATACCGTGCGCCTAGCTCTGTCACTACGATCCCGCCCATTGAATGGCCGACTACCACGGCCTTGGGGACTTGCAGCGAGTCTAGCACGCCGATGACATCCTCTGCGATGCCGGGGATCGTGACTGTGTCATTCGTGTACGGGGAGCGGGCGGCGCCGTAGGTGTCGATTGTGATACAGCGGTGGAGTTTTGTAAGGTGTGGGATTACTGGGTAGTAGTAGTTTTGTGAGGAGCCTAGGCCGTGGATGAAGATGAAGGTTAGGCCGGTTGGGGTTGGAGGGCCGGCGGGGTGGGAGTCGGCATAATAGAGACGGTGGTCATTTCCTTGGACGAACGGCATTGTGGATTGGGAGTTTGATAGGAATGGGCTTTCAAAACGACAATGTATGAAGGAATGGAGGAATGAAGAAATAAAAAAGCGGGCAGGCGCCTAGAGACCTATGTTGTATACAAATGATAAGTGTAACGTCATTCCCGATGGGATTCTGGCTACAATAATAAGATATACAAGTGTACACAGTGTTCTGAATCCTCCTAGCCGTTTTGTGGTCATTCCGTCGGAACAATTCAGCTCTCAGCTCTTATGTTGTACTCCAAAATATATGAGAACTCCCGAACTGAAAGGGCTTCGTTGTGTATCCGAAAATGGGCGGATAATCACCCGATGGTCGGTCCGGATCCGATCCCCATAGCGCCAAGACTTCCCTGGACAATGTACGAATAAGAGGACTCCAAAGCTGGAAGACTTGGCGACAAAATGTTGCTGAAGCGATTTACCAAGTTCAAATGAAATCATTGAGAGTTGTTTTTATCGAGTTCGTCAAAAGGGTCACCGCTTCCGTGTGCAAATGCTTCTTCGATCCAATCCGCAGTCTCGTCTCTAAAGGAATCTCCAAAAGAGGACGCCAATGTGGGTCTAATGCACGGTCGATCAGACAAAGGAGTCTGTAAAGGCGATATTTCCTTGGGTGGAGAGGGATTTTTCGTTCCAGGACTATTCGTTTGTGAAATAATAGCTGCTTCAGCTTCAAGGAAATCGGCGGGATCGTACTGGAAAGATTCCCCAAAAGACGATTCTAGCTTGAGCACAGCCGGGGGAGGTTGTAGGTATGATGATTCATTGGGTATAGAGAGTTTCTTCGTTTCTTCGTCAGTCGCTAGCGTGGTAGCAGCCGTCTCGGCTTTCTTCATAACTTCGTCGTCGTCGAACGCTGAGCAGTCCGAGAACTCATCATCATCCTTGAATGAAGCACGGGTCGCGGTGCCGATATCCTGACCTTCACCCTTTTCCAGAACGCCTACCTCCTGAAGCTCAGATAGGTCATTTTCCAATTCCTCATCCAAATCGTCAAAGGCATCTGATTCAGCTTCCGTATCCCCACCCTCGCTCCCCAGATTGTCATCATGTGATTCGATCTCCGTAGTTGTAGGCGCAGGCTCCGGTACCGCAGGTGACTGTCGCTTTCCGGCCCCTAGGAACATTGAAAGCAGCGGCTGACTCGATGGGACGCGTGCTGCATTGGGATCCGGGATACCGCGACGCTTCCGCTCTTCACGAGCCTGCGCCTCCTGCTCGGCTTTCCGTTTCTTGTTGGCGATTCGTTTCTTTTCCTGGTCGCGTAGCTTCTTTGCTTTCTTTTCCCGCTCCTCTTCGCGATCTAGCCGCGCGATCTGGGATGCGGTGAACTGGAATCGTTGGTTGCTGCGCTGGTACCGGCGTTTGACAGTCTTGGATTTCTCCAAGATGATGCGAGGCGGCTCATCCGGCATAGTGGAGGCAACCGTGGCAGCGACTGCCTGCTGCTTGTACGATCATGGGGATGGAGGGCTGTGGTGTGTTGTACCAGAAAGAGTTGGAAGTCGCGATGTTGTTTTTGTTTGGCGGTGATACGTTGTGCCGACCGCGGAAGTCAACAATTTACCAAATTGGGTACACTCTTCCAGATGTTCTATTATTGATTTATATTCAGCGTGTTTTTTGGGTGCTTGGAATTTGATTCCCTAATTCTATTTACACGCTAGGCTTTGCTAATTCGCGGATGTCATTTAGATCTTGCAGTCACGGACGGGATCCCAGCAGACAGGCTCGTACGTGTTGAGCTCCAGGCTGGCCATGTCCTCATCCGACAGCGTGAAGTCAAAGACCTGCGAGTTCTCCAGAATGCGAGACTCGGTCACCGACTTAGGCAGGGGCACATATCCCTTCTGCAAACTCCAGCGGACCAAAATCTGAGCCTCGCTCTTACCGTGCTTCTTAGCTAGGTTCTGCAGAACCGGCTCCTTCATGCGGGTCGCTTGCACGAGGGGAGAGTATGCCTCGACAATGATGTTGCGTTTCTGCAGCCACTCCGCGATATCCTCACGTGGGCACCACGGGTGGATCTCGTACTGACCGACAGTGATTTGTCCGCCCGCTTCGCTCTTGATGTACTCTTCCAACTCCTCAAGGTGCTGGATAGCAAAGTTGGACACGCCCAACGAGCGGACGTGGCCTGCCTTTTGAGCCTCCACGAGTGCGCGCCATGTGCCGAGGCGGTCCTCCTTGCCACCATAGGGTGCGTGAATCAACAGACTGATAGTCACAGTGTTAGTTCGGTAACCGGCTTTGTTTTCCGGAGAGAAAGGAGGTCCTTACAGGTCAATGTAGCCAAGGTTTGCCGCGGCAATGCTTTCCTCGATGGCCTTCTTTGCCTTTTCGTACCCCATGGATTTCGAGGGCACCTTGCTGGTATAGAAGATCTGCGAGCGATCAAGTCCAGACGCGCGGATGGCGGCGGCACTTTCCAGTTCATTTCCGTAGACTTTGGCGCTGTCGACCTGGAATAGGATGGTTAAAATCCGGAACACTTGCTGCTAGCGGTTCTGCAGCTGCTTACATGGCGGTATCCGAGCTCAATGGCCTTGCGGGTCACTTTCTCGGTGACATCGGAGGGACTGGTCAAGAATCAGTCAATATAATCTGCCGCAGGGCTTTGATACAACGATAACCATACGTTTGGTAAACCTAATTCCCAGCATAAGTGTTAGTCATATATATCAGACCTCCAAGGGTCAATATACTCACTCCGAACCCAACAACGGGGATCTCGTAGCCCGAGACCAACTTATAGGTAGACTGCAGCGAAAGAGGGGCCATGATGTACGAATATTTTGATGAGTTGAAAGGAACAAGAAGGTAAATGAGGGGGCCTTTAATAGATAAAGGTTTGGATATCCACGGACCACCTCGGTCCAGTAATTTCCGCCGGTTTCTTGGAGCTTGACGCCATCTAAGTGGGGATATACTACATCGGGGGCTAGATGTGGTTATATCAATGGCTGATCAATACGACGTGGGGCTCATATGAGTAACTTGACGGACATAAGGGACTTAGAAGGAAATAAGAATTGTCTATTTAGTTTGCCCTGATAGGACGGACTTACCCTGAAGACTTTCAACGTTGGAAGTTTTGATGTCAAGACTCAACTTTACCCCAATCTGATCTGATTAGGGTTCAGTCTTATCGATAAGGAATGACTGGTGAATATGCCGCAGGGTAATGTTTTCATACTACTACTTCATATCATATATTTTTTAGAGGCTTAGAATATCAGCAATCCCTTATTCCCTGACAACCCATCAACAACCAAAATTGATCTCTTAGAATGAGTGTATCCCAAGAGCAAGTGATATTCTTGCAGAACGGCCGGGCGGTAATAAACGGCAATATCATATAGTGGGGTTGTGTTTGGCAAGTTCAACATCTTCAATGCCCTCAGGTTAGGTTGATTTGCTCGAATATTTCCCTTTTACAGGAGCATTCCAAAGCTCTTAAATGTTTGATCTGTTTCCATACAGCCCTTTTATTCCTCCAAATCGCGCATTTTCTAGGCAACATATGACAACATTGCAATAACAACATCTAACCCGCCCTCATCGCCTTTTACCTTCTCAAACCCTCAGCCTATAACCGTGCAATATCACCGCAGGAATGCGTTGTATCAAGAACAAAATTGAGCACAATGGCTCTGGGGCGGTTACATTGTGCCCGGACGAGCCAGAAGATATGGTATCGAAGTCCTCACTTTCTTTCCATCTCAGCACCCCGCAGTCATCTAATATACAATCCGATAAATATAGTGGCACGCATATAACCTGATCCGACCAGGCGATATCCTCCGAGCCAGCGCAATTCGTCGAGTTACCACAGTTCAGGATACCGGGTCCACGAGCTCGGCGCGCGTTCATCTGAACCTCATAATTCGCGTGAAGAATCTCGACTTTGATCCGCAGAGCTCCCAGCTCCATGTATCAGGACAAATTATGAACGAAACACAACACACAAAAATCGGACAATTCCATACACTCGATCTAGAGTTGAATCGCAATTTCACATTAGAGAAAGAGGTTGGGTCAGATGGAGAAGGTGTCGGGTGGGACAGTATTGCAATTGAGTCACTCAAGGATGCTGTGGACGAGGGCGGGAAGCGCCGTGCGGAGGCTGTCGCAGTAGTGATGCAGGAAGGACTTGCTCATATCTGCTTTATTGGTCAATTCCAGACAATATTGAAGCAAAAGATCGAGATGTCTGTCCCGCGGAAACGGCAAGGAGGAGGGGATCATGATAAAGTGGGTTTCTATTGTTGTCTCAGTGTGTCTTTCGACAAGGTCAAAACTTACACCACATATTTCCAGGGAATGAACAAGTTTTTCAAAGTTACACTCGAGACCCTTCTTCGACAAATGGAGTTCAATACCAGTCTTACTTCAGGCGCCAACAACGAAGCTGTCCGGCCTGTGCTTCTCGCCTCGCCCGGTTTTGTCGCCTCTGGCTTCCAAAAATACATCCAATCCGAGGCATCAACAACGACTCCTGGGCTCAAGCGACTTCTTCCCAGTCTCGTGGTTGTGCACTCCGCATCCGGTTACACGAATTCACTATCAGAGGTCCTGCAGTCACCTGCAGTTAAGACCATCCTGGCTGATACTAAGTATGCCCGGGAGACCAAATTGATGGACGACTTCCTAGAACAACTGCGCAAGGAGACCAACAAAGCAACCTATGGTCCCCGCGAGGTTGAGCATGCAGTTGAACAAGGTGCTGTCGGCCGAGGTGGTGGAGTGCTCATTGTTTCGAACCGTTTGTTTCGATCACAGGATATCGCTGAGCGTAAACGCTGGGTGTCGCTTGTGGATCGTGTCCGTGATGTTGAGGGTGGTGATGTGCGAATTCTCAGCTCAGATCATGAAAGTGGAAAGCGTCTGGAGGGGCTGGGTGGCATCGCTGCGCTTTTGACATTCCCTCTTATTGAGCCAGACTTTGACTCTGATGCAGAATAGAAGGGCCATTCAACGGGCCATCAAAGAATACAAAGATTTATTAGAACATATGGCATAATCAAAGCATTCAATAATCAGATGAACAGCATGCCTCTATTGAGACTTTCTCGAGAAATCCAATCCAAAATTTGTCAGACTGTAGATGAATGAAAAAATCAGCCATTGGTCCATGAGGTGTAGAAAATCAGGGTTTGTTGTGTATTTCTCATGGTATCGTCCCTGCTATTTAGGCAACACATCAAAAGAACTGGTTCAAAGTCTCCGAGATGTTCATTGGTCCCCTATCTTTCATGACTGCTCGTTTGGCAGGGCGATCTCCTCTTTCAGGTGGCTCGCTCCGCTTCTTCTCCCTTGCACGTTGCTGCTTCTCGATATCAAGCTTTTGCTTCACAGGATCTCGGGTAAACAATACAATTGATTTTGCATTATAACGAGAGCGGACAACTACCCTGTCTCTTCTGCTGTGGTCGGCAGTTGGTAGTTTGAACTCCAAAATCGAGAGATTCGTGGGTAGGGATGATGGTCTTCTCGAGCCCTCGACTTCGGATGTTTGGAGACTAGACTGGTACACATGGAGCAAGGCCAAGAGGTTATCATCGATTGTCTTTGTAGTTCCATGGGCCTCCCAAAACCAATCGAGTCTGCAGGCCGACCATCCCTTTATGGGAATGATGTTATTTGCGGGCCTATCGTACCCTTGAATCGTTTCGGTGATCATCTTACACTCGTACGCCACAACTAGCTGTAGCTCTGGCAGCTCACGTAGAGCTTCCAGTGTCGCAATTGTCATTTCGTGTTGGTGGTAAAATCTAAGAATGCGGAGGTGTTGTAGTGCTTTTGATTCAATCCAACCACGCACAAACCCATCTTGCAAGGGCATGCCGTTGTTGCTGACACGCGCTGGTTCCACTAGGGTGAGATTCGACGGATATGGCTCACTGTAAACGTCCAGAGCAACCAAATTCTTTATGTTTGGTATAGTAGCCAGGTCTGTAGCAGTGCAGTAGGTAGTTGCAATCGTCAAGATTGCACGCCAGCGAAAGTCATCGCTATTAAGAATACCCATGTAGTCTCTTAATGGCATTTTAGGACAGCCAGCATTGAGGCAGTAGTAAGGACTAACCTCGTGGAATTGTGCCGGATAAACACTGGTCATTATTTTCCACATGTGCATTGTCTGCTTGTTGCTGTGCAGGCGGTCAGATATGAACAAACAGAGAGTCCTCTAATTATTACTTACCACCTTTTGAGGGCATCCCAAAGGTATTTTGCCAAATACCAGGAGACGTATTCAAACAGCTCGGGCTTCAGCGCCGACTGGTCCTGCAGGAGTGCTCTCATGGCTGCATGTTTGAGCGATCCAGATCCTCGATCATTGGTTGCCTCCCATCCATAGGGTAAAAATGGAAGTTCATGATACCATGTCAGACCGAGACGTACGAGCCCGGGGGGCTGGTTGTCTTCAAGGATGATGGACATCACGGAACGGAATCATGGCCAGAATCAGCGGGGATTCAGTGATTGTTGCAGTTTGGTGTTTTAGCAATACCCATGGATGAGATTATAGGGAAGGCTGGTGTCTTCCCAAAATCAGACATCAAATGTTTGAAGTTGGACGTGTGTTTGGAGTCGAAGCGCGACTGATTTGATACCTGCACGTGACCCTATCTTATACAGACCATTATTATGCTGTTGGAAGCGATTTGGGTCTTTTTTTATATGTAAAACAGGCTATGATTAGGGAAATACCCAAATATGTAGAGACTTAATATGTTAATAACATATTATTAGTGTGTTAACAACATGTTATCCACAGTTTTACCATATTCAGCACTCATAGGGTTAGTCTGCTTTGGATTTCACCTTTTTATACCCCCAAGTGTTCTTTGTTCGTTTATATTCATGGCATGAGGAACTGCTGTAGAGAAAGAAAATTTCAGTTGATTGGTAGCTCAGGGAATGACTCTAGTGATTTAACTAGTGGACAAGATCGAGGTCAAGACCCCTGACAAAGACCCCATTCTCTGGCAAGTGGTTTGGGTCTATAGCATGGAGGATCTCGACCTAACAGAACAAATGGATTTTTCACAGGATAATTAGCTTGCAATTTTTTGTACAATGGGGTTCGGCTTTGAGAACCCTGTGAACAACATATCAAGATCAACAGAGGAGCACTAGCTAGGATAGTGAGATATTCATCGCCATACTTAAAGCCCAGACTATCCCCATGGGCCATGGCCTCCATGCCTCCATGCACACATACCTCAGCCCTCATTCCTACGTGCATACCGACTATACGCACGTATTTTATACCCCTTCCAGTAGAGCAAATAAGGGACAGGCAAAAACAAAAACGAAATGCCACCCATGACAGTCAACGTCCATCCAGTTCCAAGCCTCATATACATCGGTTCCGCAGCAATCCTCATACCACCGGCAGAAATAAGCCGCAGCAACTGAAGAGAGGAGAGGGCGCTTGCAGTATATGCCTCGAACGCATCGGCAACGTACTGGTACCCCGAGATGAAAAGACAGATCGTCCCGAAGCCAAAAAAGACCGAAGCAACGACTGGACTCCAATACGAGATTTCGAGTTTGGCCGTCCAGCCCATCCAGAATAGCGAGATGGGGACGAAAGGCGCACCGAACATAGACATGTACAAACTGATCTCCGGGTCCGGGCGGTGCTGGCCTCTCTCACGGCTGCGGTAGATTTCTCTACGGAGGAGCCACATTGAAACCGGGATTGCCAGTGCAGAAAGAAGAACTCCGACCTCAATGGCCAGGAATGCGAGGGCGATAGAAGTTGGGCTGAAGTGGCTTGCTACCTCATAGATGAAGACGAAACCCCCGATGAATGTGTAGAGGACTATGAAGAGGAGGGAGAGGGAGACCGCATGGATCATGATGATTGGTTCTGTCATAAAAAGCTGAAATGGTCGGTATAGTGAGGCACGCAAGCGGTAGGCGAATGTGGCTCTTCTGAACTCTAGTGGAGACCGGTACCGGTCATCGCCTGTCAGGCGGCGGAGCTCTTTCGCTTTCCAGTACAGCAGGACCGGGCTGTATGTCTCGGGCAGGAAGAACACAACCGGGATCAGGACGAGTCCTGCCAGGATTATGGTCATCCAGTCGACCCAGCGCCAGCTTACCGAATGTGAATTGACGGCGAATGCTCCTGGTACTGGTCCCACCAATGGACCCGTGAAGATGATTATTGCAAAGATAGGGAAGGCGTAGACTCGTTCGATGCGTGACCAGACGTCCACGAGGGATGCTGCTGATAAAATCGCCGGGGCAGACCCGAAGAAACCAGCTAAACCACGGCAAACAATTCGCTGTGCCGCTGTTTGGGAAAGCCCTGCGCCCATGTCGAACAACATGAACCCAATCATGGTGGGGATGTACACGGGGTTGCGTCCGACGACTTCTGATATAGGTCCTGTAACTACTGCGCCTAGTCCAGTACCAATCAAATACATAGCTTGATGATCTTGGTTAGTCTGGTCGAATAAATTCAAAGTGTTCACCACGTACCAGTCGGTAAAGTCTGAACCACAGAGCCGGTACCATACACTTTTTTGGTGGTTTCGTAAGCAGTGGCATCGATTGTGGATGCCCAGAAGATCACAAAAGCAGTAAGTGAAGTGAGAATAGTCGTAAACGCCCGACGACTGAATGTCCAGTTGTGAGGATCCATCGTGTCATAGTCACCTTCAAATGTGACGATGATGACTTTGTTCCTTTTCTCTGACTCAACATCAGTCTCACTATCAGTCGCATGGTCAGATGGCCAAGATCTTTCAACGCCAGTCACCATAATATCAGCCGTGTTTCCCAGCGTCTCTTCTGCATTGATGGTATGCGGATCCGTTGAGATTGACGGGTCCATCTCCGCGCCCTCGATATCTCCTTCCCGCCCCAAATGTGATCGAGCGGTATGGCGAGGTTGAAGGGCCGGCCCAGATATCAAAGTGCGATGGCCGTGTTCCCTCCTTTGTCCGGCAGCCCAGTCATCCGCTGGCTCGCGAGGATACGTGTGGATCTCTCCTTCATGGTAATCGTAGCGGCCCTCGTGGGTCCAGACATCCCCGGGCTTCTCATGTTTTGTAACAAATTGTTGCTCGATCTTTCTGCGGATCCTGCGGTGCTGGATGATTGACTGCATTGTGCTTGATTCGGGAATATGCGTTTCGGGTTCGTATCCGCGCTTGTTACTCGAGTATTCAGAACAGTTGAAGAGCTCCTATCTCCTCGGAGGCTCCTTGGAGGCTCGTTGGAGGCAAAAATGACACATGACAGTCCCCTCGAGGATATGAAATCCGTACAGCGCCACACCTATATCACTCGGTCAACTCTCCCGCTAATGACAGATTCCATCATGTCGAGTCGAACAGTTGACAGTTGTGACATGACTAGTTCATGGAGAACCTGTAGCTAGCTTGCTGATCTTGATATTTGATCAATAACGAAGCTACCTGGAATTTTCCCATGAAACATTGCTAAACCAGAAGTACAGCCCTGGAGCAGTTGTCTACGATGATGTCAGGAAGACCGATGTGTATCGTCATTGGGCTAATTTGCACTCCATTTTCAAAAGATAAAACCTTGATAGATCACAGATTCATAAGAATTGAATCACATATAGTGCACCAACCACCCGAATATTCACTGGAACACCGAGGGTGGAATTACATACAGGGTAATTCGTTAAACACAGCATGCTTTCATTGAAAGCCAGACAAGCATCGTTCCTTGTCTTCATTTCCAAGTGTAATTACATCACATAAAGGATGTCGGTATCTGTAGGGGTTGTCAGAATTCGATCGTGACAAAATAATCCCAGTATCCTTACCTAAGGGGTGGCTGCAGCTCAGCTGTGGCTTCTGGGAATATTTGGTCGAAAGCTCCTCACGAATGCTGTTCAAAAGCTGGACATAACTCTGCTGAGGGTTCTTCCGAAGCGCAGCAATGAAAGCCCAGGACATAGCACCAGTGGCCTGGCCGGCAATCTGGGCATCCTGACTGGTTTGGTCATCCTTACTGCCGGACCACATGATGACATCCGCGGGACTAGTCTTAGTCTGCTTGTTGCGTTCATACACTTCATCGCCCTTGGTGGCCTTCTTTATGAAACCCATTGCGGTAGACATCATACTGCCCATGTCGCCACGCGCGTACGCTGACACCACACCAAGCAGGCCTTGTCCCGCCTCCTTGGCCAGGTTGGGCTCCTTGAGCACACCGGAGGTGGAGTAGACGTAGGGGAGATCCAGAGCAGAGCCAGAGTGGCAGGAGTCGAAGATCGCTGTAAGCCGGACTCCCGGTTGTAGAGTCTGCACCATGATACGGTGCATTTCATCATCAACGATGTGTCCTGCAACCCGGAAGTCCACCGGGTAGATAACTTCATCATACCCATCATCTTCATCGCCATCCAAGTCAGGTGTCTGACCGCCGTGGCCTGGGTCCTTATTAGTTCACTGTCATAGAAGCGACCGAGGTCTGATTACTAACCAGAGTAGTGGAAGAACAACGAGTCATTGGGACGCGCATCCTTGATCAGCCAGTGCATAGCCCGAAGAATGTTTGCCTTGGTCGGCTGGCTCATCGGATTTTGCTGATCATCAGTCAAGAGGACCATGTCCTCACGAGCATAGCCAAAGTTCTGGTTCAAGTAGGTTGACATGTTCTTCACATCGTTGATACATCCGCGCAGCTGACCTTTCTGACCGAAGTAATTGATACCAATCAACAAGGCCTTTCTCTTACCCGTGCAACGGGAGTATTGGAAGTTATACCCCTGGGGAGCGCCGTGACCGAAGGAGACAGGGTTGGTGGGAGGGGGAGCCGGACCGCCGCCTTGACCGTAGGCTAGATTTGCGCATTATTAGCTTTCACTTCTGAAGATGCGGTTCGCTGGAAAAATGGTAGGCAGACCTGGTCTTCCTTGCATTTGTTGCCCAGAGGGCGGACGCTGATTGTACCCAGACGGCGGAGCCTGGAAAGGATTGATATACGTCAATCTCGTGTATATTCGACACAAGGCTCATCATGACATACATTGTAACTTTGCTGGGGAGCATGCCCGCCGTAGGACTGGTGAGATGGCTGGGATGAATGGCTGTAACCGTACGGGTTGGATTGCGGCGGCGGCTGCTGGTGCGGCTGCTGGTGGTAGGACTGGCCGGGATAGCCGCCATAGGATGGCTGCTGCTGGTGATTCATTTGTCTGCAATCAAATGGTTGTCAGACTCTCCAGGCATATTTTCAATAGAGCAAAGGGATAAGCAAGCATACGGGTACTGGTGTTGCGGGGGGGTATGACGGCTGCTGCGGGGGGTATCCCGGAGCGCCCGAGTAGGGTGGATAGTAAGACATCAGAGAAATTCTCCAAATCCACCCAGAGAATTAAGCAAACTGCAAGAAGAGGACAGAACGTGATGTTGAATGTGGAGAAGGGAAGATGCAAGGCAAAACAGATCGGAAGTACGGGCGCCAAGCCTTTGAAGAGTGCAAGGTAATTTTCCAAAATGTCCAAAGAATAAGATCAAATCAAAGAGTTCGGGTGATTTGGGGAATTTTAAAAGAAAAGATTATCTTTTGGAGGAGATCGTCAGACTGGAACCCTTGCCACTTACACTATAAGAGGGTTCGCGTCCACTTATTTCCTTATATGTTGTAAGGTTGTTTTGGATTGACAACACTTGACAACGACAACAATATAAATAAAAAGGAAGAGGGGAAATTGAAAAGAAGAAGAAAAAAAAAAACAAGTGAAAACAACGTGATCTAGACTGACTTTTATATATCTGACATGGATCCATCGGCAGCCCCGATCAACCCTCTAGAAGCCCAAAACCCCCTCTGCATCATTGGGCTTCACTAACATTTATTCGTAAAGATTACGACTCAATTTCATATGATAATTGGACAAGCATAAATAAAGAACATACAACATAGTTCACACGATAACTAACTAACTAGTTATACAAAGTAGATTGCCGTTCTGCATGTCATACACCTTCAGGAGATTCAATAGCACTGTCTTGGCGTCGAAAATGAGCCAATGAGATGTAAAATGGGTTAAAGGTCAGGACTATAGCGATGTACTTAGTTACTTAAATAGGACATGAACATGGATTCCAAATAAAACAAGGACAAAAAGCAAATACAACATGCTACGGAGTACTCCGTGTCTCCATCGTACAAAGTACGTAGTAGAATATGCTCGGACCAGCTCGGCCTTGGGAAATCTGATATATCACACGCAATCCATGCAATCGACTTCAAGGAATACTTTGATGAGGAATGTGTTTTATATTGTATGTACTTGAAAAGACCGCGTTGTTAAGTCGGTTATCTCTAGCAACTCGTCTTCTATTCTCCCTGTACTTCATATTCAATATTCATCTCACAAACATCGCCGTTGAAGCCACCAAGGCCAGACCAGAGTTCGCTTCAACCACTTCATGGCCTTCAGTGATGCAGGTGTTCTTTTTTTTTGGGGGAATATCATCGAGCATTATCCAGTTCTGGTCAAACTCGTTTATCCTCGTCGGGGCATACCACGGCCGCGGCCCCGGAGGGCGCGCTGGGCAGCACCTGGAGGCATACCGCGCTGTTGACCAGGTTGGGCAGACTCCTCATTCTCTGTTAATAAGAAAATATGGGTTAGTCATGATGTGGAGGATGGAAAGTAGAAAAAAAAAAAAAACAAATAGTAATAAGTCACTTACTTATCGTTTCGTCCACACTCAAGATCAAGCAAGAGGCTTCCACTGCGGCCTGGATAGCATTGACCTTAACCAGACTGGGCTCCCAAACAAAGGCCACCATGTTGTCACGGACGCCCTCGTTGTCGAAGTCGACACCAGCCCAGGTGTTACCCTTGCGGTGCTCCACGCGCAGGCGGTTCAGAATATCCGTAGCGTCGAAACCAGCGTTGTCACACAACTGGCGGGGGATGACCTCCAGAGCCTTGGCGAATGCCTTGACGACGGCCTGCTGCTTGTGCGGGACGTTACGGTCGGCAAATCCGTGCATGTAGCTAGACAACTCCATTTCAGTAGCACCACCGCCAGCAACGATGGTTGTGTTGCGCAGAGCACGCTTAACAATCATGATAGCATCGTGCAGACTACGCTCCACCTCCGCAATGAATTGCTCAGCGCCACCACGCAGCACAAGAGTGCAAGTCTTAGCGCGAGGGCAGTCGGAGAACATATTGAAACGCTCTCCACCAATCTGGCGCTCCTCGAACGCACCACAGGTACCCAGGTGGCGCTCCTGAATATCAGTGCAAGTCGATTGGGTTGCGGCTCCGGTAGCCTGGCAAACACGGTCCATGTCGTCGGAGGCCACACGGCCAGCACAGAAGATGTCTCGGTCTGCGAAGTACCTGCAAATCAAACCATTAGTGTCTAGACACATATCCCATAGCAAAGAGCAAGCACGTACTGTGTGGCAAGATCGCCAATAGGCAGCTTGCTAAGCACGACCTTCGCTCCTGTCTTGTAGATAGCCTCAAGCTTGTTGAAAATGATCTGCCACTCAGCATCGACGATGGCCTGGTATTCCGAGACCTGCTCGACACGGACTTCCGCATTGTCCTTCTCGCTCTTAAGTTCTAGCTCAACGTTCAAGCAAACGATACCAGGGTTCTCGAAGTGTTTGGGCTGCTGCTCGAAACCGGCGTAGGAGAAAGTCTTCTTGAAGGCGACACCGTCGACGAAAAGCGAATCCTGGAGACCACCACCGGTAACCTTCTTGACACCAATCAACCTCTCGTTAAGGTCATCCTGGTCCAGCGAAAGTACCGCATCCACAACCACTGGGATACCATATCGTCAGCCTTGGGGCAAAATTTGGAACCACTAAGTAGGGGGTCCTCACTCTTTGTGAAGAAGTCCGAATTGCGCTTGATAAGCTTGCTGTTCATGGCTGTTGCGGCTAACCGTCTTAGTGTCTCGACCTTCTTCTCCTGGCTGTCTGAAGCATCCATCATGTCCACTGCAATCTCCTTAACCTTGTTGACTGCCATGGCGCTCGCCCTCCGCAGACCCTTAATGATGGTCTGAGAGCTGACACCCTGCTCAACGAGGTCTCGCACCTCCTTTAGAATCTCACCGGCCAGGACAACCACGGAGGTTGTTCCGTCACCGACTT